CGTTTCTTCCCGCTTTCCCCCCGACTTCCCTCCCATTCTCTCCATTCCTCCCGCCACTCTCCTCCTCCTCCCCTCCCAGCCGGCCACCATGCCGCCAAAGAAGTACGTGTTCCCCCGCGCCGCGATGGGTGCAACTGTCACCGTCGCCCAGCCGAAGCAGAGGAAGCCGAGGGCGCCGCCGTCCAAGCCCCCGGGCATGTCCAACGCTGACTGGAGGGCTGAAGTTCAGTGCCGGGAGGTTGTCACCACCGACCGGCGGAACAGGGCCAACGCCAAGAAGGCCCGGGACAGCGCGGCGCGGCTCGCGACTGCGGCGATGGCGGAGCAGGCAGAGCGGTCGGCCGAACAAGCCGAGGCGACTCGCGTGGGGATGATGACCCCCTCTCCGACACCCCCTCTCCGCCATGGCGCGCTGCCCTTCTCTCAAGCCTCCACATCGCATCTCGGCGACACCGACGCGACAGAAGCCGACATGGACGACATCATCACGGCCGGCTTGGCCGCCGCCGCCGCGTCCCCCGGGTTTACTACCCAGGACGACACAGTGGACCTCAACGGCGACATGGATGGCGAGCTCAAGTACGGCGAGGAGGCGGAGCCTAAGGAGGAAGAGGAGGAGGAGGAGGATTTGGCGCCTGCTCCAGCGAGGAAACAGAAGAAGAAGAAGGGGGCGGCCAGGACCGGTGAGCCGCGCATCAAGTGGGCGTCCAAGGAGGACGAGTGCCTCGCCGAAGCGTGGAAATTCGTCTGCCTCGACCCGATCACTGGCACGAACCAGAGCATCGGGACGTATTGGGGCCGCATCAAGGCCGAGTTCGACGAGCGCAAACTCATCGACCCCTACTTCAAAGACGTGTACATGCAGCGCGGGGCGAAGGCAATGGCGAACCATTGGGGGCTCATCCAATCGGCGTGTAACAAATGGCATGGAATCGTCGAGGAGATTGTGGCTCACCCAGAGAGTGGCACCAGCATCGAGGATCAGGTATGGCACGCCGGCCTCTCCCTTTTCTTTTCGCCGGACGCGCGCCACTCACTGAAAGTTCCTCGACGTAGCTGGTGCGGATGTTCGGCATGTTTCGGCAGGACAGCAGCGACCAAGATTTCAAGTACCACCACGTCTTCAAACAGATCGAGAAGTGCGACAAGTGGGCGGATGTCCGGCACACCCTCGCCAAGGCCAAGGAGACCTACAAGCCGGACGCGCCGACGCCGGGCGCGGGCGATGGGCGCCCCGAAGGCAACAAAGGGGCCAAGAAGGGGAAACACGCCAACTCGGCAACGGCGCGGGTGCAGGAGTCCATTGAGCATTGCCTCACCGACGCGCAGGCCCGGGCCGCCCTACATGAAGAGAAGACCGAGGCGCGGTGGTCGGCGTTGATGACGAACAACACTGTCAAACTCGACCTGCTCCGGACCAACGTCGCCGCGAAGAAGAGGAACACCGACCTGGCTTTCCTGTTGGGCAGGGCGGACATGCTCCAGAGCAACGACGAGTAGGTCAAGGCGTGGTACTTGGCGGAGCGCGGCCTCATCCTGAACCAGCTGTTGTCGACGGTGCCGCCAACTCCCACGCCCACGCCGACACCGCCACCAAGCCCGCGCGATTATGCCTCCACGACGCCCAACAGCACAGACGCCGCGCCGACGCCGCCCAACACAGAAGCAGCTCCGACACCGCCAAGCCGGCGCACGCCGACTCCGCCGACGCAAGAGGCCTTCCCCGTCGTGCGATGCCTTGCCCACGCGTCCTTTTTTGTATGATGAACTTTTCATCTGATCGCCGAACTGTGATGATCGCCAAACTGGGCCGCTGATCGCCGGACTTATGGTGTTTTTTTGTGAGCATGAATGGCTAAGTTTGAATTTGCTGCGACTTGGGGGACACCTGGGGATGTGGCTGGGAGCTAGATCGCCCCCATGGGCCAATCTAGCGCCGGCTCGTCCCCAGGTGGCTCTTTTTCGGCGCCCTGAAAGGCCAACGGCTGGAGATGCTCTTAGAAAATAGCCCTTGAATAATAATGTAGGTCAAATGCCCGGTGCACCTTCTCCTATACTTTTTCCTTCCCCAAAGCACTTCTGATTGACTTTTTTTTCCTACACCAATCACCTCTGATTGACTGATTGGCCTACGTGTTGGAGAAGTTTTTCCTGCCTAAGAAAACTCTCTCTCACCGCATTAGTGGTCACTTTTTTTCTTGAATGGGCATCAGTGGTCACGGTTAATTATTCAGTTTTATTCAAAGGAAAAGCTAACCATTCGTTTGTATCATTCGACTTCGACGGAACGTGGTTAACTGGTTATGGACTTATATGATACACCCATAGTCCTTGGTCATGTCATAACCTCTACTTTACTTCCGCTATAAACAATGCTCAAGTTGAGTGCCCAGTCCAATTATGCGTCGATGGCAGCTTGGACGAGATCAGCTCCTAAACTAAAACTGGCATATCATCACATGGCCCTAACATGTTGTAGATGACGGAGCGCCAGAGTTCTGGCTTTCTTATAGAATCATCAACCCAACAAATCACCATCACACCAAATTACCTCCCAACAATCGAGATCCCGGGGCGTCACCTTCCCGGTCACTTCCTCCACTGCATCTAAAAAGTGTTTAATATTGTGCACCTGATCAAACCACTGCCGTCCATCCCTCATCGGACGGCTCAGCTCACTCTCAGACAGCGAGGATCCAAAGGCAGCCGAGCACCAACGGAATCTGATCTCGCTGTCGAGGGTGGTGGGCCCGGCTGCACAGTCACCCGTGGTGCAACCCGCCAAGCAACAAGATCCCCCCTATCGTTTCATACTCCAACGAAGCTCCAACAAGTCAAGAGCTCTCCCTGCCCTCATCTCCTTCCCCTTCCCCTGCCCCCTCCGACGACCATGGCCGTGTCCATGGCGATGTCCAGAGCTCTCGCCGTGCGCCAGCCGAACCATTTTCGCCACCGCCTCGTGTCGACGAGCTCCCAGCAGGCGTCACCGCCGCGGCCGCCTCTTCTACCGCCTCGCGGACCAAGCCTCACGCTCGCCGCCCGCCCGCGGATGCTGCCGGCGAGACCCAGGCTCTCGGGAAGCGAATCGGACCTGTCCCCGACGCCGCTCTCGGAGCGCACCATGACGGCCTGGGACCTGGCCAGCCTCTGGATCGGCCTCGTGGTCGGCGTGCCGTCCTACTACCTCGCCGGCAGCCTCGTCGACCTCGGCATGTCCGCGCTCCAGGGCGTCGCCACGGTCGCCTTCGCCAACCTCGTCGTCCTCGTCTGCCTCGTCCTCACGGCCGCGCCGGCGGTCACGCACGGGCTGCCGTTCCCGGTGCTCGCGCGCGCCACGTTCGGCGTGCGCGGGGCGCACGTCCCGGCCGTCATCCGCGCCCTCGTCGGCTGCGGCTGGTTCGGCATCGAGTCCTGGATCGGGGGCCGCGCCGTGTTCCTTCTCCTGCCGTCAGCTCTCAAGACGTACCAGCCGCTGCTCACGCCGGTGCCCGGCCTCGGCGCGGCGCCGCTCGAGTTCGCGTGCTTCCTGGCCTTCTGGGCCGCGCAGCTCGGCGTCATCATGAACGGCATGGAGGGCATCCGGAAGCTCGAGAGGTACTCGGCGCCGGTGCTCATCGTGCTCACCTCCGCGCTGCTCACCTGGGCATACGTGTCCGCCGGCGGCTTCGGGCGCATCCTCTCGCTGCCTCCCAGACTGACAGGGTCCGAGTTCTGGAAGGTGTTCTTCCCGGCGCTCACGGCGAACATCGGCTTCTGGGCCACGGTGGCCATCAACATACCGGACTTCGCGCGGTACGCGCGCAGCCAAGCGGACCAGGTGCTCGGCCAGGCCGGGCTGCCGGTGTTCATGGGCATGTTCACCTTCGCGGGGCTCGCCGTGACCTCCTCCACGGAGGCCATATTCGGCCACATCATCTCCGACCCAATCGAGCTCCTCGGGCGCATCGGCGGGCCAGCGACGACGGTCCTCGCCATCTTCGGCATCAGCCTCGCGACCATCACGACCAACATCGCCGCCAACGTGGTGGCGCCGGCGAACGCGTTCGTCAGCATGAGCCCCCGGAGGTTCACGTTCTCGCAGGGGGCGCTCATCACCGCGTTGCTCGGCATCGCCTGCCAGCCGTGGCGGCTGCTCAGCTCCAGCGAGAGCTTCGTCTACACCTGGCTGCTCGGCTACTCGGCGCTCATGGGCCCCATCGGAGGGGTCATCCTCGCCGACCACTACATTGTGAGGCGCACCGCCTTGGACGTCGACGCGCTCTACTCGGAGGAGAGGGAGAGCCCCTACTACTTCCAGGGTGGTTTCAACGTTGCCGCCATGGTGGCGATGGCGGCCGGAGTTGCCCCGATCGTGCCGGGGTTTCTTCACAAGGTTGGCGTTCTGCCGAGTGTCTCCGGTGCACTCGTAGCAGCCTACAACAATGCCTGGTTCGTGAGCTTTTTCGTCGCCGGCACCGTCTACTGCCTGCTCTGTCCCCGGAGAGGCGGTGAAGTGAAATACCAAAGCAGTTGATAGTAAAGTGGGCTTGCAGAAAACCTTTGGAATTTGGAAATAAATACTTTTGAAAGTGGTTTCTGAATGGCACGCTGAAGAAAAGAAGGCAACTTGTAAAGTATTCCCTCCATTCACAAATATAAGATGTTCTAACTTTTTCCGAATCGGATGTATGGAGTTCGTATTGAAATATCCAATATATTTGTGAACAGAGGGAGTAGTTAATTATAATAGGAAAATTTAAACAGAATTATCACTCTTATCTGTCCTGCAATGTATCTCTGAGAATCAGGCCTCGATTTAGTTAGAAGTTGTATTTCCACTCATTTTTTATGCAATGGAAGCGAAGCACTTCCTAATGAAATTTCTAGCTACTACAAAGGCAACATATGCAATTCTTAACAAAGACAAGCTCGAAGCCGCAAAATGACAAGATGCTCTAGCCAAGAAAAAGAGAAAAAAATCAGTCTCAAATGTGTCACTAAGATGTCTGGGTTACCATGCCTCATTGTTGGTTTACATAACCAGAAGGGTCAGGAAATATACAAATACCAATGCTGGTATTCATCATAACTTTAAGATTAGTTGACATTTGTGCTAGCTGTCGGATCAAATGATACATGAATCATATCATCCATGTTAGCAAACTCACCAACAGCTTGCACTCTACTTGGACAGCTATGATATGAGAAACCAACCTACTCTTCCACAGGGTATGTATGTGTCATATCAACGGGTCCTGGTTTTGACCATCTTCCCTCTAGATGCCTTTTTCTCCATTTTCTCCCTCTTCTTTCGAGACTTCTCATCTTCGACTTCACCCTGAAAACAGGAGGTACAATACTTGTGTGTCATTTCCAAATAACCCTGAATGGTAACAATTGCTAACATTGGTACATGGTCTATTTTACCTCTGAACCACCACCGAAGAATGTTCCCTTCAACAGAAAAAAGATCTTGTATCCACCGAAAGCTGGTATCTGCATATAGGAATGTATAGATAATAAGCAATATAATCAGTAGTTGACAATATTGGGGAACCCTCTTGGTAGTGTCTATAACTCTTGAGAACAGAGTAGATACTATATTCTAAATGGGTTTTCCACTCAAAAAAGTTTTCCCCTGTTGCTATACAAAGCACTTGCAAATTTGGTGCAAAAATATGACCCATATGTATTCCACTCAAAACAAAGTGGTACAATTTGGATAACACATTACCGCATTGTCTATTCAAACTGCACTGCTGTTTTTTTCATACAGGATGCATATTTTTTGCACACAAAAATTCAAGTATATATAAATCATAGCATGAAGTGTGCCCATGATTTTAAAAAATCAAAATGTTGTGGAGTGGGAAAATTGCGTGAAAACACAAATAATAGAAGTAACTAGTCAGATGTCTAATTAGTGAAGAAACACTAAAGCCTTCTTTACCCAGAGACGTAAGTTGTCTGCAAGTGTCGAGATATATGTACAACAAAACTTGCAACATGTACCGATAGGTGATGGTAATATACATTGATCATTGTGACAGCCCTGTTATTTGGGCCGTCCACATACTACATAACTAACCACTTGCATTATTCAGAAATCATGCGAAATAGTTAATCCATGTTTAGTTCCCTTGAAACCTTGGCAATATATATTGGTGATGCTCTATCTTCACTAAGCAATGGAGACTATTATCGCATATGTGCTCATGCATACAGCCAACAATGGGCTGCAGTTGGACCAAATTCTAACTGGACTTGGTTGTGACAATCTTTCAGTTCAGCTGCCATATATTGCAACACTAGTTGCAAACTTGAGAAAACAATCCTAAGAATGAAACAGTAGTTGAAGCTAAAGTCATACGCAACAATAATAGTACATAGCTGTCGTCTGTTTAAAAAAAAGGATCAAAAATGATAAATTATTTCCTTCCAAGGTCCATCTTGTAAGATAACTACTCCCTCCAACTCCACAAAGTGGGCGTGCATACTTTTCGAGATTTAACTTTGACCATCAATTAGACCAATAATATACATGTCATGTAACCTAAAATTATGCCATTAGAAAAGTTCTTTCAAATACGAATTCAATGGTATAATGACACATAACCCACATTTTATTGGTTAAATTCACGCCAAACTTGAATCTCGAAAAGCGTGTGCACCTTGCTTTTGGAGTCGGGATTACACCATAAGCAGGTTTTTGTACCTTACATTTAATATGCTCTTTATTAAGAAAAAGGAACCTTAGGGTGATTTTAGCAGGACAGCAATGAATTGCTATGGTAAACAAGAATACAGTATGAAGTCCCAGGTCGTGCATATCTTACCACCAGATATGTCCACCAAAATTTTCCAGAAATAATGGACGTAAGCTGCACAAATGCTGTGATGTATATCACATCCTCTATATATCTGCAGGTAAAGATGCAGCAAACAGTTTGTAACTGAGTTATAAGAAAGAAAAGAAGCACCACATATACAAGTTCACATAATCCTCCAGTGGAAAATAGCAATTCCCCAACTTCTCATTTTTTTCAACTATAATTTTCACATGTTCATGATTTAGTAGTTAGTATGGCCCATGCTAGTAATTTTCAACAAAACTCACTAGTATGCCCCTTTATGTTTTACTCCCTCCGTCCCATAATATGAGGCTTGAAAAACGATCTTATATCGTGGGACGGAGGGAGTAGTTATCAATGTACATTTAAAGTTGGTACTGTAAATTATTTCTAAGGAAGCTGAGAGCCATAGACTATGTAATCCTCTAATCAGTGATTTGTCATCAAGTACAATGATCAAAGCTAAGAATTACACCATCATGCAGTTCCTTACTCCGAAAGCCCACCGGTGGCCAAGTCATAACCCGAACTCAGAAGTTCACGATTGTCCGCGTCAGAATATTCGGGCTTTGTCATACTAGCGAGTTGCTTGTATGAAAGAAAGTATGCAGCAGATGTCACCACGAGGCCAATCCAATGCTTCCAGGTGAAAGAAGAGTACATTACAGCCATCCTCACTACTATGTAAATAACCTGCAAAGGAGCAAAAGTTACACATGAACAGATGAACTAGTCCTCGAACTCAAAATGGCTAAATCTGTCAGATTGTCAGCAAAATTATATAACTAGATTAGTTGATGGCATACATCCAGAAGTCCACCTAGTAGCTCTTACATGTGGTTCAACAAATGCAATTCACAGAAGGAGGCTACAAAGTCTCGGCAGTCCTAAACAAAACTAAACAAGGCAGCGCAGGAGATTCCTTGAATAAAATTAAGCCATCTCTCAGCAGAGCGCTCCTCCCTCCTACTGGATTTTTACTTCCCAACACCCCATACTGCCATGCAAGGATCAATTCTACGCTTTCGGAAAAGAGACGGAATGGAGACGGACTACTACTCCAGAGTGCAGACTACACAGTACAGACGATTGCTCCAGGACAGATGAGCTAATCTGGTCCTAAGTAGGCTTCAGCGGAATCACTACGGCAGGCTCAAAATCAGTCGAACTACGTCAAATACAAAGTATCGAGCAGCAACGATCTACGAAAGTCCCAAGTAATCCACGGATCTGAGGGGGGCGGAAGGGAGAATCGAAGGGGGGCCGCTCACGTTGGACACGAGGATTATGCGCCAGAGGAGATCCATGCGCTTCCTGTTCCTCTCCACAATCTTCTTGGATCCCTGGTTCGCCATGGCCGAGCTGCACGAGATCCTTCCCTTCTCTCCCTCGTCGTCGTTGGGGTTTCTCTCTTCCGGTGTGTAGTTTCTCTGTCGAGTCAGTCTTCGATAATAACAACAATAATACTAGGGAACTGGGCTGACTCTAACTGGGCTTGGATCCATCTGGGCTTTTCGGCCCAGTACCATATACAGTAGAGAAAAGTATAGTTTTTCCCCAAGATGTGGCCAATCGGATCAAAATCAAATGTTGCAGGCTACTATCTGCAACCACACAAGGGGCTCACAAACTGCAAGCAATCTTGGCATTATACGAGGGACCGTCCGGACAGATGATAAACAAGAACAAGTCTGCAGTTACGTTCAGCAAAGGCACAAGTGCAGTGAGGAAAGCCGAGGTCCTTCAGATTTTGGGGGTCTCACAGGAATCACAAGGGCGTAGATACCTTGGGCTGCCGATATTTGTGGGGGCTGCAAGAAGCCAGGAGTTTGAATACATAAAGCAGAATATATGGCAGCGCATGCAGGGATGGGTTGAGAGGTTGCTATCAATGTCGGGGAAAGAAATTTGGTTAAATCAGTCGCGCAAGCAATCCCGACCTTTGCCATGTCGTGTTTTGATATAACCAAGAAGCTATGTGAGGAGATTGGTACTCTCATCAACCGGTACTGGTGGAGTAACCAAGATAAATGGGATCGGTGTCATTGGATCGGATGGGATAAATTGACCAAACCGAAGAGGGAAGGTGGATTGGGGTTCAGGGATTTGCATACTTTTAACTTAGCGATGTTGGCTCGGCAAGGGTGGCGGCTATTACAGGAACCGGACACTTTGTGTGCGCGAGTATTGAAGGCTCGCTACTTCCCGGACTGCTCGGTGCTAAAGGCATGTAGCGGAAGAGATATGTCATATACGTGGAGAAGTATCGTGAAAGGTATTGATTTACTTAAGCAAGGTATAGTGTGGAGGATTGGTACGGGGGACAATGTGCGCATTTGGGATGACCCATGGCTGCCCCGAGGGAGCACTAGGAGGCCCCGGATGAACCGCGCAGGGGTGCTGCTTGACAGAGTCTCTGAACTGATGAACCCAGTTACTGAGAATTGGGATGAGGAACTAGTTTCGGACCTGTTCTGTCCTGAAGATGCGAGGGATATCCTTGCGATCCCAGTCCGAAGTGGGATGGAGGACCAGCCAGCTTGGCATTTTGATCCGAGGGGGATCTTCTCGGTAAAGTCAGCATACCACTTAGGGATCAATTTGAGAGATGCAGCCCTTAATAGGGATGCAAGCTCGTCGGCCGCGGAAACGCCGAAGGACGCGCAGAAATGGACTAAAATCTGGAGGCTGGAGCTCCCATCCAAAGTACGGATGTTTTTGTGGCGTTTTGCACATAATTCTCTGCCGACGCGTATGAACATAAAGAGGAAACATGTCTTGTTGGATACCCGTTGTCCGATATGCATGAGAATGGACGAGGATGGTGGTCATCTGTTTCTAAAGTGCAAACAGGTCAAGCACCTCTGGAGAGAGTTATAGCTCGAGGATGTGCGCATTTCTCTGCTGGAGTGTGCGAACCCCATGATGATTTTCGAACGTGTGTGGTCCTTGGCACCTCCATGACGTGATCTTGTGCTCATGCTGCTCTGGGAATGGTGGAACACCAGGAACAAAGCAAATCAAGGGGAGAAGGTAAAGGCATGTGAGGCGATTTCTTACAATGTCCGAAGGCTGTGTGATGATTTCAGGAGGGCCGGGGGTACATGGGAGGCACCCGGTGGGCAACCTACGGCTGCAGCACGGACTAGACCGACTGAAGGACAGGTTAAAGTAAACTTTGATGCGGCATTTTATGCTGACCAGGGAAGTGGCACTACCAGAATAATGGCCGTTGTCGACGACCTTCTCTACGCCGACGGCCCCCATCGGCATAGATGGTGGTATGCCGACGGCCGCGGAAAGATCGTAGGCGTACTAAAGCCGTCGGCAAACCTCTATGCCGACGGGGGCCGTCGGCATAGGAAGGCCGTCGACGTATATTCCACTATGCCGACGGGGCTGTCGGCATAGAGCCGCCGTCGGCACACAGGTGGGTCCGCCGACCCAGGTCCAAACGGAGGGTTGACGCCGTCACCTCTATGCCGACGGCCCTGACGGAGGCCGTTGGCATAGCTTGTACATTTTTTTTATTCGCAAAAAATCACGTGGGCTTTCTATGCCGACGGGGATACCGTCGGCATATATATTATATGTTTTTTATTTCTCATTTTGCATTTTTTATTAAACTTTAGATTTGATTAATTTAAATCTAATTTACATAAACTTAAACATACACAAATTATATATGAAATTGGGGCAGAATTTTCCATAGATTATGAATATCCTGTTTGTTTTTACTTTTGAGTATTTTAAAATGTAACTTCATGTAATTTTGCATATAGGTCCTTATACTTAGTAAAAATCACAAGTAATTGATACTTCACTAGATTTGGATAACTTTTAAATGATTTTCTTATCATAATCTCGCACCAGGACATGATGCGTGTGTGAATGTGTTGTGACATGCGTAGACGCCCTTCTTGGGCTTTGAGGTGTGCCCCCCCTTCACGTACGGCAGTGCCGCCATCACTTCGAGGGGGAGTCATGCGCGTCGGGTAGAACCGGAGGGAATCTAGTGGTGGGTTGGGTCCAGGCCATGTTCGGGGATGTTTCTATGGGCTGACCTATTGCAACCAGTGGAAGAGTCCACTAGTCAAAGCCCGCCAGGAGAAAGTCAAAGGCCTAGATCTCCTGGTCAATGAGGCTAGGGTTAGTCCGGTCAGTGGGGCTTCGAGGTGTAGCTATGCCACCGAAACACCGTACCGGGTCCCGATGCGTGCGTGAAAGTGATGTGGCATGCATAGACGCCCGTCTTGGGTCTCCGAGGTGTTGCCCCCCTCCATGGACGGTTGTCCCGCCGTCACTTGGAGGGGGAATCGTGCGTGTCGGGTAGAACCGGAGGGAATCTATTGGTTGGTTGGGTCTAGGCCGTGTTCGGGGATGTTCCTATGGGATGACTATCAGGGCCGTCTCCAAAAATTTGGGGCCCCGGGGCAAAAATCAAAATAGGACCCTAAATTTACATTAGGGTCGAACTAAATAATCACACAATACATATATGATGATTTTCCAACAACCAAAAAAATCAAGAACTACTGAGTTCAAACTTAATTGTGTCCTAAATCTAGCCTCGTTCGACACTTCCCACCTAACCTAATCAAAACAAATGAACTTATTACCTGATAGTGGAAGACCAGAGGTGATGGCGCTCGTAATTGACAGGCCGTGGGCGATCGACGAATGCCGAAGCAGGCAGGCATTCAGGTAGATCTGGCACCGTAGTCTCTGGTGGGCGGTCGGAGGAAGCAAAACCAACGGGCGTTGTTGGGGCCTGTTAGCAATCAATGCACTATGGCAGAAAAAAGATCGATTGATCGATTCTCTAGACCTCATGGGCCTGTTATACATGTTGTTTTGGGCGAATGGGCTCATGAGCTTTTTTTTCCTGATTTTAAACCTACAGCTAATAGACTAATACTTAGTGATTAGGGGCCCCAAATATTTGGGGGCCCTGGGCGGTCGCCCACCTCGGCCCCCTCCATCGACGGCCCTGATGACTATTCACAACCAGTTGGAAGAGTCCACTGGTCAAAGCCCATCCGGCGAAAGTCAAAGGCCTAGATCTCCTGGCCAAGGGGCTTCGTGGTGGCCTTCCGGTTGTGGCAATGCCACCGAAATAGCGCATGCGGTCTTGATGCATGTGTGAAAGTGACGTGCCATGCGTAGACGCCCGTCTTGGGTCTCCGGGGTGTTGCCCCCTCCACGGATGCCAGTGCCGACGTCATTTGGAGGGGGGAAACGTGTGCATCGGGTAGAACCAGAGGGAATCTGGTGGTTGGTTGGGTCCAGGCCGTGTTCGTGGATGTTCCTATGGGCTGACCTATCGCAACCAGGTGGAAGAGTCCACTGGTCAAACCCCGTCCGATGAAAGTCAAAGGCCTAGATCTTCTGGTCAACGGGAATAGGGTTAGTCCGGTCGGTGGGGCTTCAAGGTGTAGCAATGCCATCGAAACACCATACCGTGTCCCAATGCATGTGTGAAAGTGATGTGGCATGTGTAGACGCCTGTCTTGGGTGTCCGGGGTGTTGTCCCCCTCCACAGACGGCAATGCCACCGTCGCTTGGAGGGGGGATTGTGCGTGTTGGGTAGAAGCGGATGCAATAAATGTCTCAAATATTCCAGGCGGGCCCGAAAAATGCCATGTCTTGGCACATGTCATGTAATGCCCCCCTTTGAGAGAAAGACAAGTTTCGAGGTCAATGGAGCAACGGGTAGCACACTTCCTTCACAAACCGGACACATTCCCTCTTGATAGCCAGATACTACCTAGGAGATGGTGCAATCTATAAGTGGCTTTCGGTCAGGCTTCTACGAAACACACTCAAACTTTTACTAGACCCTACAAGGAACATATGAACATCGTCCCAGGTCCTGAGGATTTCCGGCATCGTATGTTTTTTGTGGATTTTAACGGCTAGATCCGGCATGCCGCCGAGGTACATTCGCCCCATGGTGGTGGGTCCTTCCCCTCCTTTTGTTGCACTAGGTATACACATTCCGAAAAGACATCATATACGATTGTACAAACCACTTTTGGACATCATTTCAGGTGGCCGCCATGCATATTTGTAATTTCCCGCATTGAAACCCTACGGATGCAATAAATGTCTCAAATATTCCAAGTGGGCCCGAAAATGCCATGTCCTGGCACATGTCATGTAATACCCCCCCTTTAAGAGCACGAGAAGTTTCGAGTTCAACAGAGCAACGGGCAACACCCTTCCTTCACAAACCACACACTTTCCCTCCCGATAGCTAGATACTACCTCGAAGATGGTGCAATTTACAAAGGGCCTCCGGTCAGCCTTTTGCGGAACGCGCTCAGATTTTTACCACACCCCTACAAGGGCCATA